TTTAAATCAAAATTACATTTATATCCATATATTATTAAATTCAAATTTAAATCCATTTTTCAAAAATTCCAGTCGACAATATTGCAGTCATGTTTGGTTAAAAGAAGCTCCAAATCGTGTTGCTCCATATAAGGATATAGAGATACCAATTGAGAAAAATAAATGCTTCAAGAGGAATTTTTTCAAATATTGAATAAATAACAATTGTTAATTTTGAGTTGGAAATTTCTTCGAATTTCGTGGTGCTTTCGTCGATCATGACTTCATACCTTCTAAAGCTATTATGAAAGGAAAAGTGTGGTGGAGACTTTATGGAGCAAGTTTCTCATAATGGTAAACTTTAGTTTTTAAATTGTTGGCTCAACTGTGTTTATCTAGTCGTGGAGAACTTAAGTGCATATTTTTTATCAATTCACATAGCAAGAACAAAATCACTCCGCAACGAGATGAAAATATGGTATTTGTTCATATTGAATCTTCATATCTATCTAGGATGAGCCTGGAATATTCTCAAGTGAACACAAGTTTATGGGATGTTGGCGGAGATGGCTTAGTTATAATGGATGACATTGGAATTATTGAAGTTGTAAATCTTTCTATTAATGAGTCATGCTTAAAAACGATACTTTTTGTTGATGAAGGTGAAAGTGACATTGATGAGTTCAATGGAGCTAACACTAATGATGACACTACTATTGAATGCATTACGTCAAAATAGTGATGATTATTATGTTATAATTTTGTATTTTGCTATATTTTGCTTCATTTTCATATGGATGATATTGGTATTAAGTGTTTTGGTGATCTTTTGATATTTTGAATATCATTTTGATATTGCCAAAAATAACTTTTATCATATCAAATGATTGCATTTGTTGTTTTGTGATGTCTTTAGTATAAAACATTAAAAATATATATTTTTATTAATAAGTTATTAAATATTAAAAAATATGTATATGTACCATGCCCAATTTTTTGTAATTATGTTGTCTGTCTCATCGTATCGTGTTGTGTCTATGTCCTCGTGTCCAAATTCTTGCTTCATAGGATGGTGCATCATGGTTGGAAAGAGAGCTGGCAATTGTGAGGTTGTGAACTGCAGGAAAAAATAGTAACAAGAGTGTTGCATTTGGGAAGTCGTAGACGGGAGAGCAACGAGGAGCGATGTGAGAGGTTGCAAAAGGTTTGAAGAAAAGATTACCACCTCTTGAGCAAAATATAGTTGAAACACCACTCGACCCTTGGATACAAGCCTATAAGGGAAAACGGCAGATGTTTTTGGTTGTCTCGAACAAACATATGCAAAAACTAACCCTAGACCCTCACGAAAGTAAATTTATAATAATATGTTAACTAGTAGTGGGCTCAAAGGACAAGTTCGCACTCCACATTAATAAAATACCTGACTGGTCCGGTCAAGGCATGCAGGTGGAAGCTTGCTTCAATCGCGAGAGCGCCGCATTTGCCCACATCAGTCTCCCAAGCTTGGGGAGCTTCGACCTCATCCATTGAAGCTTCTGTCTCCTCGTAATATAGAGTCAGGTCGACCCCATTGAAAGTGGTGGAAATATTATAATTTCCCAGTAAATCAATATATAAGAGTTATCATTTAAAAACACATCCTGATAAAATAAATATGCATCCTATTTTGGCACAACCTGAGCTGGAGCTACATATAGATGTGGATTCTCACTAAGTAACTCTAATCATTAAATACGTAATTATCACTTCCACTCCTCATACTTGGTAAGGCGTATCTGATAAACAAATTCATCTAGACAAGCTAACTCAAATGAGATTTGTGGCATGTTGGACACTTTTAGTGGCAACCACTAATACCAAAGAAGCTGTTGGAGAAGATTAGTAAGAACAGTCAGAGAAAGCAATCTGGGAAAGGAAAAAAATAACTAGAACAAAAATGTGGTATTGATCAAATAAAAGATACAGCATATAAGCTTTCTACTCTCGCAACCGATCAAAATACAGGAATCATCACCCGAAGGATTGATGAAGGAGATTCGGGAGTTCACCACCAAATGGTGTGAATACAGACTCGCCATAATCGGGGGAGCACAAAGGGAGGCTCTCATAATTCATAAAGCTCAACTGAACAAAAAGAACTCGTAATAAAATAATCGATTATATAATTGTAATCAATAAATGACCTAAACCTAATAAAAAATAGGTAAAAAATAACATTATTGCTTTTAAGAGTAGGTGGCAACCGTAGCCATAGAGAGAGAGTCGATCAGGACTCCCCCACATGGACCAAACCAGTCCAGGGTCCCCTCCCCACCCCGTGTCACGTTGTCATTCATCTTCTTGAAGATTCTGAAAGATCCAACTATTTTAGGCTAATCTTTCCCAAAAAATCTTATGAGAAATCCTTTTATCTTCGAACCGATCCACACTAGATCTTAACAATACAATTATAAATCATGTATGTCATTACAAAGTACATTATGATAGAATAGTACATTCTGATAGAATAAATACTCATCATCTTTGGCACAACCTGAACTAGGCATAGATTCTCACAAAATAAACTTCTAGCCATTGAATTTGTAATTTGCTTCAGCTCCTCGTACTAAGATGGGCTCAAGTTAAAAACAAATTCTTTTAGAGAAATTAACTCTAGAATGAAATTTGTGGCATGTTATACCACTTTCAGTAGCATCCACCCAATAGATAAACTGTCGGTCACGATGACTGCAATCTCTTTAATAAGGGTAGCCCATTTTGAGGTATCAACTCGTCGAAAGCACTATCTTCTAGAACAATCAATACTAATCCATCGCAGTCCCTCATGGGCGTTTGAATCAATTGTCTCTTCCTTAGCAGCTGGAAGTTGAGACTCCTCTTTGAAGTCTTCGTCATCTCTTCATTATTATCAATTTTTTCAACTACACCTTGATAAGTAAAAATATCATTCTCATGTTTGGGTAATCTGATTCAACAAGCCCAAATTTGTAGCATTTGAAATACTTCCTGACTAAGAAGAATTTGAGAATGATGCTTGGCTCGACCTATTCATCTCTCTAAACTGGTTTCTCCTCAAGCAAGGATGATTTGGGTGTTCTCTTATTGTCTGATTTTGGGGTTGAACTTTGTTTGTAAGATGTGGCGGCCACCGAAATAGTTTGCCTCTCCACATTAGAAGCTAGAGCTTGAGCATCCTATAATGTCCAATAAAAGTGTAGCTCGATCGCATTGCCAATGGACAATCTAAATCTCCTCATATATCAATTTATGGTTTTCTCCTCGGGCTCCACTAGCCCACGCTTCAACATAAGCGATTAGAACTCAGTTGTGTACACATCTTCTAAGAAACTTCTTGTTGCAACTGATGCAGCCTCAAGAATGTCATAAATGTAATGAAATGGTATACTTGCGCTACATTTGTTGTTTCATCTTAGACCAGATAGTAATTTTACTCTCTCCTTCTCGATATAGAATAATCTTTAAGATCTCCCACAACAAAGATGCACTATTCTTTAATTTAATGAAAGCCAGTTTTATCATTTTGTCTGGTGGAATTTCGTTGTTTTTAAAGGCATTCTACTGCCTTGATCCACTCAATGAACTCTTTAGAATTCATGCGACCGTCAAAATCAGGCAAGTCGATTTTCACTCCAATATTTTAGGTTCTTTGATATTTCATGTCAAATCATCGGGTAGTGGTTCTACATCACTAGAATTTGTCTAGTGTAAAGGATTCACTTCATTCTTTTGATCTGGCAATTCATTGTGATGGTTACGAGTGACTCCTCCCGATTGTCTCACCTCTCGAAGGCAATGAGCATTTTTTTAAAGATTTTCTGTTGCATATCCACCATAGAAAATTTTTACCACCTCTTTATGAATTTCCCCTCGGCAACAAAACGTCATTTCCTCCTGATTAGGTTTCAGACCTCTGTCCCCAGTGACAGGGCTAGAGTTTAGATTAGGGTCTGAAAGGAGGTGTATGGGTGTGGCTTAAATTGAAAAGAAAAATTGGGGCTGATTAGGAAACGCTGACGGCTGTCCCAATACAAAACACAACAAAAATTGAAACCTAACACGACCAAAGCAAAATGTATGTCCTAAATAATTATGAGTTGCCCCACTCAAATTGAGTTGTCGTTCATTGGCTTGGAGGGTCGGCCGACTCCCCAGAAGCCTGGATCAATTCTATCCAGATACGCCCAGAAGCTTCATGTGCCTCGACAGACTCCCGCGTCAGCAATTGCCCGAATTTAAAGAGTAATGTTGATAATTTAATATCAAATAGGTTATGTTCGCCAATTAGATGTTTATTAAGAATTTTTTTCTACCTTAGCAACTAGATTAATATTGTATATAATATTGAATCAATCCCAAATCATATAAAATTTGCTTAATATCAATTAATATTTCTAATTTGATAATATTCTAAATTCATATATATCATAAAAATATTTTTAAATCATATTTTTTTATAAGCATGTGCATTTTTATTAGTATAAAAATATGTCAGTCTTTAAAAAATATCATAAAATACATTAGAATCAACTTTATGTGGTAGGAATACTCTCATTTGGAATCATAAACAGACCAAAATTTATGCATGAAAGCTTCCAATAAATTTAATACTTTTATTAAGGAAGTATAAGGCATTTTTAAGACCAAATTTTTCATTGCAAACCTTGTAAACAAATACCTACAATGATAATCACACGAATCAAGCATTTAATTCACTATAACAGCAAGTTAGTTTTTTAGTCCCATCAAATTATACTTCCTAGAAAAGAAAAACTTCCAGCAGTCAAAAGAACAGCATTTACTAGCATCTTCATGCCTTCTTGGCATTCAATGTACCATAAAATCTCGACAGATGCAAGATAACCTTTCAAGAGATATGGATTTTCCATCACAACACTAATCTTTTTCTAAATATTTCACCTTGTTTATGAATTACTTCGCCCTTAGTATGCATGCCTGCTTAGTTGCAATTTATACTTTTTGCTTTTAAGAATGCCAGAATTGATCACTAGATAGCAAATATAACTTTCATAATCTTATGATTACATCAACAGTAAATCAACAAACAAGCAACGGCCCAAGTTTAAGGGAAGGATCAATTGACATGCCTGCAGATAAGATATTGACACGGTATCTTGCAAAGGAGAAGTATTAGCAAGAATATCCTCCATAGCTCTAACCATGATTCCGCGTTGAGAAGGATCATCCTCTCCAAGTCGACCAATGGTATATGTTTTTCCGGTACCTGTTTGACCGTAAGCCATAATTGTCCCATTATACCCATTTAATACACTCTGCAAAAGTAGATTAACGCACAGAATGGATTCAAAAGGACTATACTTACAGGAAAAGACAGAAAAATGTTAATCAAATGGGATACCTAGGATTATTTGTATTAGTATGTACAGTACCATTCGAAAATAGCTATAATGAAAAGGATCCGGAGCATTCAAATATGAAATTGCAAAAGATAAATCTGAGAAAAGAAGCACATAACACCTACTTTCAAAAGCAAAATGAAGCCTACTTTCGATAATTAATTATTTGCTTAACTTACTTTAATAATGTTGCAACATTTAAAGATGTAATGGAGCAAGCCTCACTAAGAGTTTTTAAGAAATTAGAATGAATCTAATTTAATAATATAATTGGCAGAAGGAACTCCAAAAATGCACACTCAAGCTTTGGAGAAATATTAATGTAGAGTTCAACAGACTCCTTAGATTTTCACACAAATCAAGCCTAGCAATGATGACAATAATAGATTGAACTTCACTCCAATGAAATAGTATATTCACTACCATTGCAACAATGCTTTTTCCACTTCCTATGCAACTATTAGTGTGAACTCTAACAAAAGCTTTCCAAATGCTAAAACCCCTTCCCTGAGTAGAAACACAAGGTTTATGCTTGTCATAAATGAAAAACAGTTGCATCGCATAAATTTTCAACATTTGATCCAGGAGGTTCTCAAGCACTTCCAATCTAACAAGTCAACTGCTTAATTAGTTTGAACTGACCAATGTAGCCAAAAAATCCCGCATTCAGAATGGGGTGCATCCTGCACGTTCCCAAAAGATTCAACATGGCTGTGTGTTGTTTAACATAATGAAACCTCCAAAATTAGGGTTGTTCTAAATAAGGATTTTATCATGCATGACTAACTATTTTAGAAATTGATTTATATTATATGATCTTTCATGCTTCACAAACAAAAAATTTCAGGAATCTTTTTTTTTTTTTTTTTTTATAATTAGTTTGGCTCTCCATCTTCAACTGCATCTTTACAAGGGAAATAATTGATGAATGAAATAGATTTTCTTACCTGGTTGTAGATGTTTATATGCTTCCTAGGTGTTAAGTATATGCCAGGAACCGTGGTTGCCTTGTTGATTCAGTTATTGTTCCTTTCCTTTTATTTACACATCCCCAACACCTGCTAAGGCTGCTATCTCTTTCCTATCTTTAGTTAAAAAGTATTTGGCAGCAATTTGAGAGAGAGGTTTCACACTTCGCCACATAGAAATTTTTTTTTATATTTACCTATTACAAGATCTTTCATCTCTTGTGTACTTGAATGAACTTGCATCTTGCGGAATGAACAGAAGCTCTGTCAAAATTTAGTTTCATTTGGTTCCTTTATGATTAATAAACAGAATGAAAAGCTAATTTTTTAGATAGTAAATTTCTTCGTGAATCTTTGCAGGCATGATTTTGAATGGTTTTCCATTCCAGCTAATTGCTTTGTCTTAAGAATCCATATAGTTGTATTGTATATTTGACTACTCCAGCTTCTCTTTAGATGACCTGGGAAGCCTGGACATTGGCACTGTCATGCAACAATTTTTTTTTCAAAGCCAAGGGTTATGTTTGCCCTACATCGAAATCTATACCAAAGTTCAAATAATCAATGTATTTATCTCTGCTTGTGTATTCATGAACAATTGAGCCATGGATATCAAACATTACCAACTTAAGCGCGAATTAAACCATCTGCAGGGTCTAGTAAGTCAAAGGGAAGTTGCACAAGTATGCACTTGCACGAATGTTCTTTACGCTCCTTTTTACCTTTCAAGTGATAATGGTTCGTTGTTCAAGGATGGAAGAACACTGATGCAGTGATGCACCTATAAAATAAAGACTTAACACTGATCCAACGAAAAATGTAAATTATTTGAAATTCAAGATTGGGGAGGATTTTACAATACGCACCGCCTGTTCAAAATTTTTATAGAGTTCCACCTAAGTTTCAAAATGCGCTGCATTAGGAGGAACAAAAAATCTGTTGCAAGGCCCAGCCTGGCAATCCATGAGACTACGACTGATGGTAATTCTAACATGGCATTCAATAGGCTAGCTACTTGAAGAATTCCCGTAATTGGAATCACAATGAGAAAATAGTGGAAGTCGTAAATATACGTAAAATTTCATTATCAGTGAAAGACAATGATTACATGAAGATGCGGTTGTAAAGAACTACCTCCAGTAAAACAAATAGACAAAATACAGAAGCAAGCTAGGATGCATGTTGAGAGAATAATTTAGTACAAAAAAGAAGGAAGCAAGCCCGAATTTGAGTACCTACTGAGTCAAGAATGTCGATGTCGCATGAAGCATTATTGCACATAGCTTGTGATCAAGTACAGCTACGAAAAAGAAGAGAATTTTTTTTTCCTGTTTGAGCCTTTGTAAAAAAATGCCCAGATGGAATCTTTTTATCCAGTAATCCAAGAAAATTTACGAAAGAATCTTAAGACGAAACATAATTTGAATCGACACAACCTCATAAGAAACATGAGCGGCATTTGAGAACACCTTAGTAGCATTACAGGAAGAAATTAAGGTAGGAAAATGCGAGTTTCCTGGATGAGGATCTATATGAAGATACCAAAGCAATAGGAGACGGAACTGGAATTAAACAAACTAAGAACAATACAAGAAGGGATGGGCTCAATAGGGGAGGCATCCAAAGAATGAGAAAATTTCATACTAGACACGATTATGGAGCAATTTTCAGCAAAATGGAAAGATCAACTTAATATAAAGTATTAACCACACAAACATTTTCTTCGAGACTACGATAGATCAATGGAACTATCATGAACAATATGACCATTATAAATTGTTTTCATAATTTTGAATTAACCTTCAAAAAAGTGGCATATTTTTAATTAAAAATTTTCCAACTTTGATAAAAAGAGAGAAAAATCTGAAATTCAACATTCTATCAATAACTGCATATAGGAATGCAATCCTAATCTTCCTAAGAAAAGGAATATATAACAATTTCAACTAGAACACAATCCCGTAAACAGGAAAGAGAGTCTAGCAGTAGAGGCATACTAGTATTAATTCACCAAAAATAGATCCCGAAAAGCAAATTGTAGATTGATTGATGAACATTAAAATGTGAAAACGACGCATACAGGGGCAATAGGAAGCTCATGAGAGGTATCAAAGTGTACAGATAACTTTAATATATACATAAAAAGGCCATTCAAATAATATGGTTGCCGATAGAAATTTTTTACTGACTGTTTCCAATATAATTTGAATAATCTGATTCTAAGAATCAATTTTTAAATATATGACGGTGATCAAAATATTAAAAAGAATAATCAACAATGAGAAGTAAAAATGATAGGGGCATTTACATATAGAGGGGGGAGGGGGGAGGCAAAACGTCATGGAAGACACCATAGGGTATATAGAACCAAAGATGGTGTGAGAAAAGAGGTTGCAGTGATGGGTGAGCATACTGTTAAATCAGACACTGCGAATGCACGAAGACCAGCGGGCAGCGGACTAATAACTATGAAACAAGAGGGCCAGCTTTACAGAGACATGAGGTAGGCGAGGGATGCGAATATATCAACATTACAGTATGTTGCGAAGTATGCACATGTTTTATTATTTATTTAAGCATGCACTCTGCATACATACCAAAAAAATTTTGTTTTTAACTAAAGCGAGCATACTGTTAAATCAGACACTGCGAGTGCACGAAGACCAGCGAGCAGCGGACTAATAACTATGAAACAAGAGGGCCAGCGTTACAGAGACATGAGGAGGGCGAGGGATGTGAATATATTAACATTACAGTATGTTGCAAAGTATGCACATGTTTTATTATTTATTTAAGTATGCACTTTGCATACATACCACAAAATTTTTGTTTTTAACTAACACTTTAAAATTTTCATATTTAAGGTTATAACACTTTGGTGATAAATCAATGCATGAAAATATGTATTTCACTTTTAAAAATTAATAATGATGATGTTTTTATAATAATGTTAACATTTTGAGTGAAATGCAAGTAAATTTGAAAGTTTGGTGTTAGATATCTAAAAATATAATACTTGTGTGATATTTACGTAAATGACCTATTTTTTAATTTCGTTCACAATTTTAGACTAACACTTTAAAATTTTCATATTTAAGGTTATAACACTTTGGTGATAAATCAATGCATGAAAATATGTATTTCACTTTTAAAAATTAATAATGATGATGTTTTTATAATAATGTTAACATTTTGAGTGAAATGCAAGTAAATTTGAAAGTTTGGTGTTAGATATCTAAATATATAATACTTGTGTGATATTTACGCAAATGACCTATTTTTTAATTTCGTTCACAATTTTAACGTAAATATATATATATATGGAACCTAAACTAATTTGTTTGGAAGAGCCAAAAGCATCTGTGTAAGCAATTTTTATTTTGATACAAAATTTATAAAAAATTGTAAGGATTGCTTTAGTTTCATGCATTGGACAATGCTAACTCTTTCACATAAATATTCAATTTTCATTTTCACGTGGCCATTAATTGAACTGTTCTAACAAGATTGATGCATCATAGACCATTTTAAAATAGGAAATTTTACATACATACCACAATTTTTATTACATATAACTCCTTGATGTCATAAACTTATACATGAAAAAGTGTATTTCACTTTTAAAAATAAAATAATAATGATATTTTCATATGATGTTAAAATTTTAATGGTATACGTATAAATATGAATGTTTAGGGGCTAGACGTGTGAAAACATAAGAATGTTTAGGGTTTCTAGATGTAACTACATAATAATTGTGTTGTATATGTATGTTAAGGGCTCTTTTAGAATGCACTCCTTTTACAAATAAATAAATACACATTTGTTAAGCATTAAATGTTACCCCACAATTTTTCTAATGACCATCTCCTTCATTATTAGTTATGTAAAATTATATTTTTTATGTCAAGCTTAATAAATCAGTTAAGCCTCCCTTCCAAAAAAAAA